TTATGATAGTTGCGGCTTGTTTGAAGATAATTTTCCTGAAATTTTCACATATGTTCTACCATAATGGCACGAAAACATTCAGAACCTAAACTTTGTTATATGTCAAAATAAAGCTCTTATATACTACTAATAGGAACTGAAAACCGTTTTGCAATATCTTAAACCAGTTAAGATATTTCCCGGTTCAAACATGGTATGAAAAAACCAGAATTTTCACTAGTTTTCAACTTCAAACAGCTCTAGAATCGCGAAATCAGCACCAAATGACCTGAAATTTGGCATTTCTATCTACTTTTATGTCCTCTACAAGAAAAAATCACCCAAAAAGTGTAAATCGGAAAAGTCCATTTTTCAAAGTGAAAGTCCCTTTTTTTTTCATTTTGCCCCATAGTGCAATTTTAAGAGAGTTTCAATTAAATTCTTCTGGAAAACTAGCTTTGCTCACTAATTTTAAGTCAGAATTGTATAAAAACAATCCAATTAAGCTATAATCAAGTTCAAATATTGTTTCATAAATCTCCAAGTGGACAAAGTCAAATTTTTACATTAAAACTTAATTTCAAAATCTTTCAATACTTTCTGGATGAAAAATTAACAAGATAAAGATATCAATCAAAGTTTTCTTAATCTCCTCAATTTTATGTAGGCTCTTCAATTATATTAGATTTTAATAAAAAAAATTTCTCGATCAAGGTAAATCGAATCAATAAAAGTTGTGTTAAAAAATCAATGAAAAAGTCATTAAAGCTTAATATACCGGCACGGGGCTTTCTTAATGAACGAGCTTAATGTCAAAGTTGCTACCATACTCTCTGATACCTAAGAATAATATAATAAATCTAGCTCTGGTAAATTCTAGCCAAAGTAAACCTTCATTATTTATGTAACGAAGTTTTCTGGTAGACAAAAATGTGTGTAAGAATATGAAATTTAAGAAGATATACTGAAATTTGTTGAAATTAAAGCTTCTCAAAGTAGAACAATGTGAAATTTTAGATTTTCCAGCAGTATGAACTGAGATTGTTCATTAATAGAGCCATCAACTAGTGGAAATGATTGTAAATCAAGTTTTTTTTTAACCTTAACTTTCTTGTGGATTGAATTTGCTTGTTAAAAGGGTCACAAAAGTAAGCAAATTCCGGTTGGAGTATGTAAATAACCTCTAATGATCATTTAATAGTAATGATAGATAAAGAGTGAGTGTAAAAGGAAATTAGGAGTCTATTGATATTGATTTTGATAACCTTTCATTTAAATTGTAAAATTTCACATTAAAGACAAGAAAAAGGCGCCAAAGCATTAATAAGTAAACAAGAAAATGTTCCTGGAAGTTTAAAGTTTTGTTTACAAGATCCAGTCATCCATAAAATTGAGATTTCATCATTTTATAACCTTATAAATACTCTAAATATCAATATTTATTGAATTTATATAATATATGCTTTAAGGATACAACTTTTGAGAACATTAACGAGATCAAATTCACGAATTTACAATTTAATGCTTAATTATTCACAACAGTAAAGTGAAATGAAGCAGATAACAAGGATAATAAGTCAAAATATTTACACGAAACTCGCTTAATATGGATGAAATTAAATGATTTGCATTAATGTAAAATCCAAAACCATAACCTTTCCCTCCGAGAAGCACTTCAAACTTTTACTTTCTCGCTTTATGGAATTATCATCACTGGATATACTTTAAAAAATGATGAAAGTGAAAATTTATATTTTTTTATCACTATGAATCTCTAATGTTGATGAGAAAAGAATGTTCATAGCCATTACTCAAAACATTTCAGGGTATAAAAAAAGACTGAAGGAGAAGGAATGAGCAACAGCAGAAAAAGCTGGAGTCAGTTGTAGATGAAAAGTAATGTAACATAAAGAAATAATAGATAAAGAACTAAGGGTGAAAAAAAAGGGAAAGGAATAGCTGTAAGAAAATATGATGGAATATTTCATTTTTAGCAAACACCAGCAGCATCGCTTTTGATATTATCAGCATTTCATCACTATCAAGAAATTGTATGAAAACGAAAGATCACGTTCTCTTCTGTTAAGCTTCAAACATAATGAAAATATGTATTTCTCGTCATTGTTAGTTTTTAAACGTTGTTGCTTGAAAACAAAATTATGCAGATGCTCATTCTTAGCTGAAAGTCTGTCTGTCTATCTACCAAATGTTTCTTATGTCTTTTCATCTGCCTAGAAGTTCTTCTGGCTGTGTCTTCTGTTGTGTGTCTGTCTGTTTTTTTGTTTTAACTCCCTTCCTCCCATCTTATCTTTATTTCTGTATGTTCAAATCAGTAAGTGTGTGGATCTGAACAATGAAGTTTAGAACAATTGTTAAATTTTAGTCTTACTGTAATTTCTATCATTCATTTGTAATTGCATCTGCTCATGTGCTTTTAAAGAAGTTAAGTGCCTTTGTGGAGTAATTGCCAATTCGATTGGTTCAAGTTTGGTGGATTAACTGAGAGTTGACGGTTCGAATCCTGATTAAACCAAATTGTGATTTTTGGGAATTTGACATACTTAATGTATTAGTTCAAGAGGACATTAGAGCTCTGAGGAACATTCAATTAAGGAATAGGTCAGGAACTTGGAGTTGTAGTATAAGATGTCAAAACGAAATCTACAGCAGGTCTAAGTTTGCAAATGTTGAAGATGTCTTAAGATAGCAGCATCAAGGGTTTAAATAGGAACTAGAGAGGATGAGAAGATGATTGCCGAATAGCACTGAATGCGCTTCTATAGATCACAAGACTGCACCACGACTATACTTAATTTGAATTTCAATTAGATTTCATCAGTTTCTGCTTCATCTTATCGTTCTTGCTCTTGTGCAACTCATCAAAATTTTATTATGACCAACAACAAAAAAATAAAAAATAAGAAGTGAGAAGAAAAACAGACGCAAACAACACGACGATGGCAAGCGAGCAGTAGTGGAATAAATAATATTGTTATTGTATTAAGAATTTTGGTGGACGAGCTGTTAAGATTATGCGGAGTCGAGGGGAGAAGGGAGAGGGTGTGTATATTTATAGAAGTTCATGAGAGAAATATTCAATGATGAAAAAATATTTTATCCAAGCCATTTGCTTCCTCTCTAAAAATGCAATTTTTATTGCAGATTAGCACTTTGTGATGCGACAGCTTAAAAAAACTTTGTTTCAAGCTTTCAACTTAAAAGCATTTTTATTGTTGGCAATTTTAGAATTATTTTGTGTTTGAATTATTCGTGCTTCGTGTCTGGAATCAGGAATTTGTAATTTAATCCTTGTATTTTTTTTATAATCAGTAAATTGTGTCACTTTCTTGGTTTGTTGTAATAAATTCGACATTATTGACTAAAGTTTATTTTACGAGCAACGAAAAATAAAAGTTTGAGTTTATTTACATTTTTGTCAGGGCTAAAGGATGAAGATTTCAAAGAAGTTTGATTTTTTCACTTCTAGGAAGATCATGCTTGTCAAAAATAGTGAGTTTTACCAGTTTTACTTCGATAAATGATGGAAGCTGATTCCTATTCTTTAAGGCGGTTTCTGAGGTAGACCCTTGAGTTTATCACAGCTATATATGTGAAGTTCCATCCCTGTTACACCTTAAAGTACATTCTAGGCAAACATAAGCCATACTGGTAGTCCACTCGACTGTAAACCCATAAAACAAGTCCATGACATCACCCCTGTCTTTTATCGAATGTATACAGCTCTTCCGTGCTTTAAAGAAGTATGGAAAACAATAAAAAAATATTCAATAACAAATGTATAAATTTCCATCGTTAAGTTTCCTAGAAAAACTCGTTAAAATCTGTCGCAAAAAATAACACAAATATTTTTTATCGCTCACAAAAATTCGCCCCATTCCAAATCCTTTATTTATTTAAACTGAATTTTATCGAATAATAAAGCTTTAATCGCTTTATATAACAAAATCGAGTTTGAGGAAGCCAGCATGAATAATTTTGAATATCAAATGACCGTTCGTCCTCAAAATGCATTCATCGTGGACTCAATTTTCGTTTGATTTTCCTCAACCATAAATCCTCCTTTTTTTATTGTAATTCCTCTCTTTATGCTCCTCTCATTCGCAATCATAATACATATGCAAAGCATAACAACAGGCAAGAAATGAAGAATGAAAATGCTGCCTCAAAAACAGTTTGAGCTTTCATTGTTTCTCATTTTAATCCTCACTTTTATTTGAACAAAGCAATAAGAACAAGAAAGGAGAAGGAAGGAAGCTAGTTGGATCTGCTTTTTGGGTTTAATGGGGAATTGGAGCGCATTTGTTATAAATTGAATTTAAACGTCAGTTTCTGAATTAAAGATTAAATTGGAGTTTAACGGATTTTAAAGATTTAAATTTTAACAGTTTCCAAAAATTCAAAATTTAACAGTTTCCAAAAATTCAAATTCTAACGGTTTTCAAAAATTTGAATCGTAAAGATTGACTCTATTAAGTTTCAAACGGTTTCTCTTAAGAAAATAAAATTTAAAAAAGTTCTGACAACATGATTACAACCTAGTCACCCTAATTGACTTGTAAATTCCTTTAAAAAATGACAAAAAAAGCAAGAAAGCTCCCGCACCTCTTGACATTCCCTCTCTAAATTATATGGGACGAAGACTTAAATGTTGTATGCTCAATTCACAATGAGAATTGTGCACGATCATAAATTGTTTGTTAGAAAGACTCCATACATGTATGTGGTACGTAAAACAACGATAATGTACATACATATATTTATATAGAGGCATAAGTACGGCAAGAATGAAATTCGATACTTCTTGTTTGTTATTTTCATTGCCCAGGTCGTGAAATGGCACGGAAAAATGTATTTGAATACATTACATTTTCTTTTGCTGGCTCAATAGTAAATTTCTTACATTGCTGCCTTGCCTTGTGATGTGTGTGCGAAAAAAAAACTCAGCAGCAAAAGGCATGGCAGTTGAATTATGTGTGTAGAAAAATGGCTTATTTTCTTACCTAAGAAATATAGTAGACATGTGAATGTATAGATCCAATATACACGGAAATAATGTCGTTTATAATCCAACAGCAGTTTCCAAATCACCATTTTTAGCCCTCTGTTTTTTTTTTCCTTTATGATACCTCTCTATGCTGTAGATATTGCACAATATATATTTGTGAAGCACACTAGCTACCACCTCACGTGAATAATTTATTTATGCATACAGCCAACTATTTACATGGTCGATGTTTATTTATTTCACACTGTGTTCCTTTCCTCAACTTCTTTTTACACTCACTGCTTGGGAAACAAAAAAAAAATTCTTTTTCTTCTTTAACAACCTCACACTGTTGGTACTTTACGAGTTGAGCTGCTGTTTTTACTTCTATGCAATAATTCGGCTAGAATTTATTAGATTGTTTTCCACACTTTGGATTTTTTTTCTGTAATATTATTGGTCATTTAGGGATTTTATTGGAGTTTAAGAAGTTTTTTTTGGTCGTTTGGTGATTCTTTTTTGGAATGATTTGCTTAATTCTTGATTTTTAAATGGGCCTTAAACTGGGATCGATCTGTTAAGACATCCCTGAAAAATTAGAACAATAGACCCTACTCATCATAATTAAATCCTTTCAAAACAATACTTTTTACAACAAACAACTACAACTCCTTATTATTTTGCACTTTTTTAATAAAAATGATCTATTTTAAATTAAAATCATTTAAATAAATTATTAATGAATTAAAATTTTATTGGAAAGGGGGCCGTTCAATTATGACGTCTGGAATTAAATGCCATTTTTCAAAAAATAATAATGGTTTTCCAAAAATTTCTATTGTTCTTTTCTTGCTGACCCTCTCCATACATATATCGCTGGCTTTACATGTCAATTGTGATCCACGACCCCCCTGAACGTCTCAAAAAAACGGCCCCAAGATTCAATTAGAAACTCAAATGATAATAATTCAAAACATTTAAAAAATAAAATTTATAAAACTTGAAAATTAAATTTAAAAACTGAAATAAAGCAATTTAAAAATTTTAAATTTTTTTAACATTTTTAAAAAGTTTTGAAAACTTTAAAAAAGTTGAAAAAAAATATTTTAAACAAAACTTGAAAAAACCTCAACAAAAGAATCACCACCGAAAAACTAAAAACCAACAATTTCCATCAAATGCCCAACACCACATACTTCCGTGACTTATAAACTTGCTATCTTTATTCACATAAAAAATTCTGTATTGCTGATGTTGCATTCGCTCCTTAAAATTGTGCAATTATCACAAATAATATCCTCACACTTGCACATTCCACTCGACTTTCTCATCTGCATAAAGAATTTATTATACACTTGGTAGCAATAAATTAATTAAATGTTTGGTAAGTTTTTCAAATAATTTCTTCTTTTCTTGCTTTCTTTGCCTTCTTCCTTGGTCATTGCAATTTATTTATTTTTTATTGTCACTGCACGATCGCCTTCCACAAAAAAGACCTGATCTTAATGTCCATTAAAGTTTTTCAGTTAATTTAATTTTTAAGGAACTTCAAAAAGCGATTCTAAATGTCACAGAACATGCTTGATTGTAATAAATTTTCTTCATTTTTAGTTGGGGTAATAAATCACATTTTATTGATAACGATGACAAATAAAAAACCCCTCTCGACTTTGTAGCTCATAAATTACTCGTTATTCACATTCCCCGTCGCTTACGGTACGACTTTGCACTTCACACTGTCGAATTTTTTTTTTTTGTACTTCGGGATAAATGTACGCACGGGCCGTCGATAGTTTAAGAAACCGAACAGACTGATATCAGTTTGTTGAATGAAGTCAAAGAGCAACATGCTAAGATGATGATGTGACGGGAGGGAAAGTAGAAAAAAAAAGATTGTGAGACAAAAAAGGATGGGAAAATTGGAAGTTCGAATGGAAATATTGGAAGGTTTTTGTGCTCGCAAAGTGAACAGCTGTCGGAGAGAAAATGTGCTTCAACGTCTTTAAAATCATTATCAAGTGATTCGACAAATATACATAAGCAGCACAGCACACACAAAAACGATATTCTAACTTTATGAAAACAGTTAAGACGTAAAACTGCATGCAATTTGTATGGGGATCTTGCTGGCAAAGAAAATGGAATGAAAAGATTTGCTTTTATTTTATTTGTGGAACATCCACGCATTTCGAGCCAAAAATAACAAATTATGAAGGCATAATACGGTCAAGTTTAAATAGGAAGAAATTTATTTTAAAAGGTTGGAATTTTATGCTTGACATTATGATTTCATTTTTGGAGTCTTGTCTGGTTTTTGTTGACTAAATCAGATTCATCTGCAGTGAGCCTTTTACGTTAAAATTCAAATTTTTGACATCCGTTGCAATTCATATTTATAAAAATTGTTAAAAATTATATTCAAAATTTTCAAAGTCGTTGAAATTCAAGTTTTTTAAAACCGTTAAAATTTGAATTTTTGACAGACTTTTGCAATTCGAATTTTTGAAAACCGTTGACATTTAACTTTAAAAAGGCTTTTAAAAATCATTTTTAACAGCAATCAAATTTCAAATTCCGTTAAATTTCAAAATATCAAAAGCCGTTAAAGTTAAAATTTTACAAAACCCTTAAAGTTTATTATATAAAATCCGTTGAAATTCAATAAATTATAAATCCTTGATGGGATATTTATAGAACTTCCATCAATGAATTTCTCAAGTTCCAAAACACACCTTAGCCTACCAAGAAATGCCATAGATCCCACAATGTCTCAAAATATTTATTAAGTAATATTTTCATAAGAATACTTTTTGCTTTCAATACCTTAGAAGGATTCAGACAGATAAGAGGAATCCTTTTCTAGGGCATAAACCATTCTCAGAAATTGCTTCTGTAATAGACTTAAAATAAATAAATTTAATCTTCTGTAATGATCTTTTCGTTTAAAGTAAATCTCTTGAAAGTTTTGCTCTATCCAAGAACATAAAACAAATAATTGCTATTGTCGGGTGTCTTCTTGTTCCTTCCTCTGCATAGAAACTGATAACATTGACTTTTGTTTCTTAGAAATTTAATATTATTGTTGATAAAGTTTTTTAAATATTTTTTTAATGACTAAACTTTGTCCATTTTTAGTACTTCATTAATTTCCAAATAAAGCTACAACAACAACAAAAACTTGTTGAAAGATGTTCTCTTTCACTTCAATAATTAATGCCAGTTTCGAGTTCATTAAAATAAAATAAAAATAAGCTGTACATGAGGACTCAAATGAGCAGTATCAAATAATCAGAAAATGAAAATTGTCATTATATTTAATGTATCTTTTTTTTGGTGCTGACATGTTCACATTCAGATAGCATTAAAGTTTCATGATTTTCATTTAAAAACAAATTAGTTCAGATCATTGAGTACCTGAATTTGTTAGTAATTGGGCGGAAATTGGTAAAATTAAATGGATCTTTAAGAGAAAAAAAAGGCTAAATTGCTTTTTATTTGATTGTACAGCATAGGTCAAGAATAGGTTGTGAAACCCACTGTATAAATTGAATTAATTCTAAGGCAGGCGAGAGTCATGATGAAATAGAGTTCTTGTCAAAAGTCATATGAATGGAATAAAATTGAATTTTTAAAGTCAGTTGAATTCAAATTTCTTAAAGCTGTTAAAATGTGACAAAAAAGTTTTTTAAATCAAATTTTTCAAAACCGTTAAAATTCAAATTTCCGTAAGGCGCCGTTAAACCGCTAAAATTATTTAAACTTCAAGAAGTGTTTTTTCCTTACGTACATTATTTCAATTCCTTTTGAAATTGAAGCCTTAATAGCACTTGTCAAAAGTCAAATTAGTCATAATAAAATAAATAGAATTCTATCAAGTTTCAATTTTCATTCTCACAAAACTTTTTGGAATTTTTTACTTTGAATAATTTTTCATGCGCATTAAAAAGTTTTTTTTCACACTTTTCATCATCAGAATAATAGATTCAAACATAACTACACAGCAACAACAATAATTTTTTTCCATAAAACCAAACTACCTTCATAAAAAATGTACTTACAACCATCTAAGATCCTTAAGTTAATAAATCTTCATTCCATTAGTCTTCACGTCTGGAAGTTCATAACATTTTTATCATCATACCAATTTCTTTCGTGCTTTTTTTTATTTTATATATTTTCAATTTGCACACCAGCAACACCAAAAAAAAGAACAAAATAAAATTGAGAAAATGAACATTTTCACGTTTTTCGATGATATTCAAATAATATTATAGTGAAGTAAAATTCAATTCACACAAATATGTTTATTATTCACATACTACGAATAAAATATTCATGGAACGCCCAACACGAATAAGAGAAGTGAGCGAGAAAGGAGAAATAAAAATTTGTTTGCGGCAACTAGATTTTTCCTGTACTTTCTGTGCAGTTCTTGTCATGATAATTCTCATGATTTTTAAAAGTTTGTTCAATTTCTTTGCATCTTTAAAATAAAAGCCAATGTAAAGTTCTCACATCAATGATGCAAAATTCTCACTTTAGTGATGCAAAATTCTCACTTTAGTGATGCAAATTTTCGCATCAGTAAATGATGCAAAGGTTTTGCGTCAATGACACAAAATCTTCGCTTCAATGATGCAAAGTTTTCGCTTTAGTGATGCAAAATCCTAGTGTCAACGATGCAAAGTTCTCGATTCAGCGATGCAAAGTTCTCGATTCAGCGATGCAAAGGTTTTGCGTTTTTGATGCAAAGTTTTCGCTTCAGCGATGCAAAATTTTCGTGTCAATGATGCAAAGATTTCGCTTCAGTGATGCAAAATTTTCGTGTCAATGATGCAAAGTTGTCGCTTCAGTGATGCAAAATTTTCATGTCAACGATGCAAAGTTTTCGCTTCAGCGATGCAAAATTTTCTTGTCAATGATGCAAAGGTTTTGCGTTAATGACACAAAATCTTCGCTTCAATGATGCAAAGTTTTCACTTTAGTGATGCAAAATCCAAGTGTCAATGATGCAAAGTATTCGATTCAGCGATGCAAAGTTCTCGATTCAGCGATGCAAAGGTTTTGCGTCAATGATGCAAAGTTTTCGCTTTAGTGATGCAAAATTTTCGTGTCAATGATGCAAAGTTGTCGCT